CTTCCCTCGAATTTCCACCAAATCCAAGAAAAACTTCTCTACTAGAATCGTCCCACCGTGCATGACGACCTATTCTCCAACCGCTAATTACTTAACCCAAAAATTGAACAAATTTCCAAACAATCAAATGTGAAATTCCAATTCCAATAAGAACAGCTGGAGTCATCCCACCTCTGGTTGATTTGCTATGGGTACTTCAAGAGGAAAGAAGGATACAACCACTACTATATTTAACCTTTTAATCTGTCAAGGAAACAAGGTGAGGGCTCTAAGGGCAAGAGTTGTATCACCAATTATTAAGAACTTTTGAATGGTTTTGTGAAGGGAAAAATGTTGGCTTATGGGATTGGGATTTCAAGTTTTCAAATTGAAATTATTCTTGGTGGGTTAGGTGAGTGGGTGTTGGGTTGGCATGAGATTATGCATTATGTAATACATAAATCTTTATGTACAGGGGGCAAATATGGGGGGTGGCCTAGGGGGGCACGTGCCCCCCTAGATTTGAAGTTTTTTTTTTTTTTTTTTAATATGAAAGAAAAAAGAATGAAATTGAAACCCTCATCCTCACTTCTCCTCTCTTCTCTCCCGTCGCAGCTCGAGTCTCCCGCACAGCACCCTCCACCCATTCTCAGTCCTCTCTTCCACGACACTCTCCCACACCACACACACCGACACATGGCCACTAGCCATATCCATGGAAATTGGTTGAGACAGAATCTCAATGTGAAGCCATTGACCAGAAATTGGTTGACCTAGAAATTAGAATCTCAAACAAAAGTCGTCGACCAGATTGTGAGTTTTTGTTCCTGATTAAGCATGACATAGATTATCAGTTCCCAACTACAACATTTTATCTTAAGCATTATTGCAGGTTCTTGCAGGGAAATGAATTCACCGGATCAATAATATTCTTGGCTAATCTCCCACTATCTGACTTGTTTGTTTTCTCCAGAAAGTTAAAACTTAGTCCAAACCTTCTGTTTTTGTTTCTGTACTCGTTATGTTCACTTTCAGGAATATTGAAGATAACCATTTCAGTGGTCTTATTCCAAAAAAAGTTTCAAGATATACACAACTTGTGGTAAGCTACTTTCTAAACAGATTCTGTAAATTAATTGTGTTTCTTGTTGGGGTAAATTTACTGAGTTTCACATGAATAACAAGAAGTTAATTGTGTTTTCTGATTTAGGAATTTAGGAATTTTTGGAAATTGATAGTTAGAAATTTCTAATTAGGGCTTTTAGAGATTCAGGGATTTTGATGAGACTTCATTTATTGAGAAGACAATTTTGATTTAGGGACTTCTAATGGGATTGATTTTTTTTTTTTTCTTTTTTTGTATAAGTTATGGGCAAATACTTTAAACGTAAATCTATACTTTACGTATAGAACAATTATAATAAAATGTCTATTACTTTAATTTTTTCATCATTGTTTGAAAGTTTGATTGTTCTCCCAACATAAAAAGTCTACGTCCATCCCTATTTATGTATACATAGAAAGATTCATATTTTGAAGGATCTTTAAGTTTGAAGTTTATTATGTAAAAGGTCATTACCTTGCATTTTCATTTCTATTTACACATTTCATTGCAAAATCATCATTTTCATCCATTTGCATTCAATTTCTCAATAAAAAATTGTGAAATTACAAATATAACTTCTATTTAAATAAGACAAAATGAAAAGAAAAATATAGAACTAATTGCAATCATATTCCCAAATACTTTTAAAAAGTCCAAACGAATCTTGAATAAATTATTAAAAATTAAAAATAAAATAAAATAAATTCTATTTTTTCCCTCCACCACCACCACGTTAAAGAACTAATCCCAATTGGATTTCTAGATAACAGAAAACCTATCGCCTTATCTCTTTCCGCCACTGAAAAAATCTCCACCACAAAATTCATTTCTCCGTCTCCACCCAAACAAGTACTAACCATGCAAGAAACTCTCTACCTCTATGCCACCGCCTCCTCCACCATCACCACTGCCATCGCTCCCACTCCCAATTCCCCTTACATTTTTCATCCGAAACACTTCCATTTTCTATCGTCTCCTCCCAAAAATGAAATCCCCCTCACAATTTTCCCTCCACCTTCCCTCGAATTCCCACCAAATCCAAGAAAAACTCCTCTAATAGAACTGTCCCATCGTGCGTGACGACCTAGTCTCCAACTGCCAATCACTTAACCCAAAAATTGAACAAATTTTCAAACAATCAAATGTGAAATTCCAATTCCAATTCCAATAAGAGCAGCTGGAGTCATCCCACCTCTGATTGATTTGCTCTGGGACTCCAAGAGGAAAGAAGGATACATCGACTGCTATATTTAACATTTTAATCTATCAAGGAAACAAGGTGAGGGTCGTAAGGGTGAGAATTGTACCACCAATTATTAAGAACTTTTTGAATGGATCTGTGAAGGGAAAAATGGTGGCTTTTGGGATTGGGATTTCAAGTTTTCAAATTGCAATTTTTCTCGGTGGGTTAGGTGAGTTGGTATTGGGTTGGGATGAGAGTACGCATTATGTAATTTACGTAGGAAGATTCATATTTTGAAGGTTCTTTAAGTTTGAAGTTTATTATGCAAAACGTCATTACCTTGCATTTTTTTGCATTTTCATTTCTATTTACACATTTCGTTGCAAAATCATCATTTTCATCCATTTGTATTCAATTTCTCAATAAAAAATTGTGAAATGACGAATATACATTCTATTTAAGTAAAACAAAAAGAAAAGAAAAATATAGAATTAATTGCAATCATATTCTCAAATATTTTTAAAAAGTGCAAACGAATCTCAAATAACTTATTAAAAATTAAAAATAAAATAAAAAACTCTCTTTCTTTCCACCACCGGGATAAAGAACAAATCCCAATTGGATTTCTAGATAACATAAAACCTATAGCCAACCCATTCAAAAATGGATCTTTCTACAAGTACATAAATGATTATATAAGGGATTACATAATGCCACATAGCACTCTACCATTTGTCAGTTTAAAACAGTCAATTTTTCCATCAAATCTTTTTCCTCCACGTCATTTTATGTAATACCTAATATATTATTTTTATGTACAAGTATCATAATCTTCAAAATATTATGTCTTCTCAGCGGCTGGACGAGGCGAAAGTTGTGTGATCTATTTTTACTTGGCCTGATCCGATCGTGGAAAGGAGTGGGATATCACTATCTAACTTCTATATTTTCAGAGTCATCTGGGAATTTGACCAATGAGTTTGCGACCTCGGATAATTTGTTCAAATTTTTACATAAAAAAGTTTGGGCTAAGACAAATAATTTTTGAATCTTTTCTTTTGAGTACCAAAATAGTCGCAGTGGGCAACAAGGCCCTCCTCAAACTGCCCTGCTCCGATTTGTCAAGCCAAATTGCCATCTCTAGTCGTAGAGCATTTTTCTTGAAGTCCTCTTCTAATTAAAGGAAAAGACACCTAAGAAAAAAGAGAAATGTTATTCAACCCCAGTGGGAATGCATCTCCAGTATATGTGGCGTTAATGTGTCATTAAATGCTGATGAAATTAAATAAGTCATTTAATTTCAGATATCCTTTAACCATTCATTTACATTCACATAGATTGGGGATGTATCCCCACTGGGGATGAATAACATTTTTAAAAAAAAAATTGAGACTTTTTTCTAATTACGTGCAAGAAAATAGGTAAGATATTATTAATTTTGTCCATGAAAGATACTCCTAAATATCTTCGACTTGATGAGGTAGTCAATGCGAAAGTCCACTTAACACGTCCAATTAATATTGGATTCCTTAAAGTCTCATTCGTAAATAATATCACAAATATATTAGAAGATATTAACATGAAACAAAATATTATTTTTAACATAAAGCCATGTTTACATAACAACGACAAAAAAGGAAACAACTTTAAACTCAAAAAATTGAAATTCTGGCAAAGTTCGTCCATTTATTGTTATGATTAGTAGAAGATCATCACGTGACAATTTAATAAATAGTCAGATGAAACTAGTAATTGAGAACTATTTGTGCAAATATAATAATAAAAAGTTGATAACCAAATTGCTAATTTTTAAACAGAAGCAATGTACCATTATTCCCAACAAATACTCAGCAAGGTGATGAAATCTCTTATATGTAGTAGCGTTATGGGCGGACGTCCCCCCCCCCCCCCCCCTCCCCACCCCCAACTTTTGAAATTTTTATTTTTTATTTTTTATATAATCGTGTTTGGTATCGATTGAAATCTAAATCAAATTTAACAATTGATTTTAATAACATATTTTTTGGAATCCATAGCTGTTTTAACTTTTATCACAATTTACTAAAAATTTGCTTTTAATCTCCATCAAATATGAGTAAAATCACAATAAATTCGAATTTTGATAACATGCTAATTTTAAAAATTTTCCGACGATCGTACGCGAATCGAATCTACAAATTACTTATGTCATCTCAAAGTTTAGTTCGAGAACTGCATTATGGACATATTGAGTGGTCCAAACAGATGTCAAAAATAGTTAAAAATACGTTAAACGCAATTCTTAAAAATAGACGTTTAATTCGCATTTTTTCAAATTCGATTATTTCATTAACATTTATTATTTTTGCGATCTAAATTTCTCAATGTAATTTTCATCATTTTATTGAAAAATTTTATCTGGAATATGATATAAAATTTTTTCGAAATTTTACATTTGAAAAAGTCATATCCCATATAAATTTTCGAATGTAAAATTACGTGGGGTATGATTTTTTTTTTTGACGTATTTTCGATTGTAAAATTTCTTCCAACTTTTTTATAAGTTCAATTGTGCCTCCTAACTTTTAAGTTCTACGTCCACCCCTAATAGCATGAAAGCAAGGTTCGAAAGTCAAATACAGAAACATGTTGGTTTAATATGACACGTTTTCTGTACTCACAACATGCATGCAGGCAGGCATGCATGTCTGTAATTTATACATTATAAACTAAGATTGAAACAAATAGTTCAAGTCATTGAACTACATTACCTAATAAGCTATTTGTTGATGGTGGTGAGCTTTGTTCGCTCAACAAAGGATCATGGACAGAAACCGGAGAACTGTCGTCTTCCTCCATTGTAGCCAGGCCGACTCCTGCCGGTCCTGCCATCTGTGGAACAATCAATCTCTGACTTCCCACACCTGCCTTCTTAGCTGTAGCATTTACGGATTGCTCACTTCCATTGTGCGGTGATGAGCACAAGGATGTAACTGATGATCCCGTACGTACATTCTCATCCGATAGTGCGCAGCTGCTGATCCTGATCTGTTCTAGTTCGTCTGCTACTTCCATCATTGAGGGTCTTGTGTCGCAGTGAAATGCAAGACATCTAAAAGCCAGCTCTGCGACTTTGTGAATGGATGAAAGTGTCCAAGCATCTCTATTTGGCTCTAGGAGTGGATCTATTATCTCATCGATATGATCTTTCCCTATCCTATCAATTGCGAGAGCAGCCAAGTTAATCTCGCTTTGAGGTCGAGAAAAGTCTACTGCTTTCATTGCCGTAATGATTTCTACAAGAACCACCCCGAAACTGTAAACATCGCTTTTGTCTGAAAGATAGAAGTTTTGATGGTACTGGGGATCAACATAGCCAGGAGTCCCTTGTGGTGCTGTAGAAACGTGGGAATCATCTGTCATGCCAAATCTTGAAAGACCAAAGTCTGCCACTTTTGCTTTGAAATTGAAATCTAGAAGTATATTACTAGATTTAATATCTCTGTGGTATATTGGAGGATTCATTGCTGTATGAAGGTGAGCAATTGCATGAGCCGTTTCAGCAGCAATGGTCAGACGAATATTCCATGACAATACCGATCCCCTTTCTCTTTGAAGATGCTGGGATAGAGTTCCATTCGGCATATATTCGTAAAGAAGAATCTCTTCACCATTCTCAATACAGCAACCTAAAAGGCGGACTAAATTTGGATGACTCAGAGAGGACAGAAGCTTGATTTCATTCAATACTTGTTCAATGCTGTTGTGATCTCGATGTCTCATTTTCTTAATTGCAACCCACTCATGATTGGGGAGCTTTCCTGCATAAACAGTGCCATAGGCACCTGTTCCCAGCCTTTGTTTTTCAGAAAAGACATTTGTAGCTCGCTCAATTTCTTTGTAAGGATAGAGGGGTACACTGGAGTTGCCTGCTGCCTCGCTGAGCAGTTGCCTAGCACTAGATCGGCTCCTGAGAGATGCAGCACGTTTCTTCATGCAGTAGCATATGAAAGCTGCAGCAGTAACCAAAGAAGCTCCAGCAATAATCCCTGCAAATCAAACAGAATGGACAATGCTGTTAAAAAAGAATATAATTTCTAATCACCCTTAAGAGTAACAGTAGGATGTGGATATATCAAGAGCGTGGCATCAGATATGCCAAAGCATGAATAAGGCATGAAATGGGATATCTAATTTGAATCAAGTATGAGAAGTAGAATTATCTAAATGAGGTTGATATGTAAATGTAGTTGCAGAAAAAAGTATTGAAGAGACTTAGATAACCTTATATCCACAGTCAAAGAGCGTTAGCAGGAAAAATGGCACTGAGGAAAATGGGAAAACCAAAGCTTTTACCGAAACCAGAATCACAAGGCAGAAAAGATAGTGTGGAAATCTTTCTGATCTTGAATATAATTGATGACGTGATAACAATAAAAAATAACTCAAGTAACTGCAACGTTAAATATCAAAATTCAATTCATTCTAACAAGTTTAGAATGCTCAGGAGCTTAAAAACTGGCCCAGGACAAAGAATCGTGCAAAATCAGAATGGCACAAGAAATAGGCAGCAAGAAGAAGAAACAGAATAATTGCAAGATAAAGGAGTATTAACCTAAAGCAATTTGACATTGTAAAGAAGAATGACTAGAAGTGAAGAGCATCTATTTCTAGAAAGAGAAATGAAAGAACTCAGTCAAAAACAGTACCTCCAATGAGAAAGCCTACTTTGGCTCCAGACGTAAGATTCGAATCAGAAACTGGTACATGACGATCAACAGACAACAGAACAAATTAGCACGATGAAAATAAATGTATTTTGGAAGTTAATTAGTTAAAGCTAGCAAGAAATAGTAATGCAGTTTTAAGGGTGCCTTTATTGCATGTCACAGACATCATATATATGGAATTAAATGCAACAAAATCCAGGTTCTATCCTTTGTCGTTTGTAGCTGCTGAAGATGAATGTAATGGTAATATACGATTTTTTTACAAACTTACGGTAGAAAATAAAAGCAGAATGTTATAAATTCTTATACTAGTCAAAACACCATTTCAACAGAAATAACCTCTCGGTTAACTATATGTATTATAGTTATGCTGCACGTACAGGGCTTACTTTCCTAAAATAGCATGTTTCAAGCATTTGGCCAAGTTACATTTGGTACAATGTAAAGCACAAGTGTTTAAACTTTAAATAACTTAGTTCCAGACATAGCTTAATTAAAACAGAGAGGATTTGATTTGTCATGCATTACATAAATGAAACATCTGCAATATGACCTAACACTTCTGTGAATATCATGCCAACGTTTCCAATGGATACGACAGATTGCTTGATCTAATGCTTTTGTCAGTCATCGTTAAGTTGAGACAAAAACATGAGAACGTTCTGCAATCCATGTCTTCTCTTTCCTTTGACTTTTGCACATTCAACATTGGAACTTTTCAAAATTCTAAACCGTAAGTTTGAATAGTTTGAGATTATCCAATAGCCCAAAGAAGGCCAAATATAAATTGCAAATTATACTTGGCATCATCAATAAGGCCAAAGTCAAATTTCTTGCCCTTCTTTATATTCTTTATTAGGTAAATATTGCATATTCAAATCCCCAGTATACAGCCCTCCCTGAATAAATCGTCCAAGCCGTCAGTGTTTACCAAAGTTAAACAATGGAAATTCAAGGAAGGAAGCTGAAGACTAGTCTCCTCACCAATCACTCACCGGAATATTTGAAACCAGGCTCTGTCTTAAGGGTGTATTTTGGTGTTTCCGTTTCATCACTCTATTTCATTTACTATAGATTAAATTATTGTTCAAGTTTATGATCAAGATGAAGTTTAACAGATCATTCCCCTTTTGATCTAACCATATACAATATGAACAGCACCAAAAGATTATGCTTTATTAAAAATCTAACAGTCATTTATGATCAATGAATCTTCATCAATTATTCGTAACCCAATTCTCGTTGCTTAAACTTAGCACTTTGCCAAAGTCAACATCAATTAGGCCATCGATTCAATACACCCACTTAAAACATAATAAATTAAATAATTCAACTAAAATTAATTTCCGGAAAAGAAGGATTTACCTATCTTGCAACCTTCACCTCTGGGGAAACCGTCCCCGGAATATCCTTTTTGACACTGGCAACGAAACCCAGTCCCATTAAAATGTTTACAGTTTGCATTTGGAGCACAGTTGCAGTCGCCCGGCAGCCACCACCCGAGCTCCACCTTCTGCGCCTGCAGCTCCAGCGCTATAGAGGGGTTCTCAGTTAAGTTAATAGTACTATTATTTCCATTCCGATTCCAGTCCACCGTCACCGACGAAAATAAAAGGCTGCAGTTACCCCTTCTTCTAATTTTTTCATAGTTCAAAAACTCCACAAAACTATCATTTGCCTCTGCATAATAACTTAAAGTGTTATTATAATTACCACTACTGTTTCTATCCTCAAAATCGCACCCATCAATCTTGAAAATAGAATGAAGCAAGTTACTGGGAATGGTAAAATCATTGACCGGCTGGCTGCAGTTCCGTAGCAGAAGTCCATTTCGTCCAGTAACCGCAAAGTTCGTACCGAAGAGGGGATAGAGTGCATCAATCGGACGGTTGCATTTTCCCGAAAGACTAACCAAGATACGATCCGACGTTAAATTCTGGACCAAAAATTCGCCTATATGGATATTTCCATTGTTTTCGCTACAATTTAACTTGATTTCGCAACCGTCGGAAAATCCAAATGGGTATGGCACTCTGTTTTCCACTTCTCCACAAGAACGATTACACTTATCTGCTTCTGCAGCGGATGAAAGGACTAAAAAGAAAACTACCCAGATGAATATTTGGCTAGAGATCATTGTATTTGTGGGTGGGATCGAACTATGCTCAAAAATATTCAGCATGCTGCTAGAAAAATATCTGGAAAGAAGTGATTGATTAGCAACAAGTTATCAAAAAATTCCACAATAGATAATGAAAAGTTTGACTTGAGGAAGAATCTTAAATGAAGAATTCAAGGGAGTAATTGATACCGGTGGGAGGTCATGTATTGAAGTTAACGCAGTTTTCTCTTAAATGTTGTGGAGTTGCCCTGTCATTCCTACCATGATAATTCGTAGGTGAAACTGGACAGAATTTTGATTTTGAAGAGAGAAATAGAACACGCATTTACTAGGACGACATTTCAAACCTATTAAATTGTATAGTGTCCAATCGAGAAAGCGCAAACTATCAGTTTTAAAAACGTGGCCCACTCATCGAACCACACCTACACGGCTACACCAATTGAGGACCAATGATCGAGTAAGAGACATGTTTTTCTCGACCCTTTGACCAATGAAGTCAAAATACGATCAATGGTGCCATTTTATGGCCATCGAGTGGCCAGATAACACGATGGATAACTCATTCTTACCTCAAGAATCCAAGAGACTTATCTAATTTTTATATTTTCATAATTTTCGCTAAATATTATGGAAACCCTAGGACAACTATCTCACGTGTGTGGCTAACTTGGGACATGTCGGCATATTTCGAAACTTATATAAAGGGAGTCCAACTCAAGACGAAAAGGTAAATCCGATGTATTGTTACTTTACCTAATTCAATATACACTCATATTTTTCTCGTGAAAACTGTAAACTGATTCTTACACTGGATAGGGGCTCGAGCCCAAGTGCCCACACGTTCGTTTTGCAAGACATTGTTGATCGATCAAGTGCAGTCATTGGGACATATGAAACAACTAGCATTAGTCGTTTAGACACATAATCAGCGAGTTATCTTGCCATTTGGTTTTGATGAGTTTATTTGAACCGATAATAATTGTTACACGTATTTTTTTTTTCTATATTTTATTGATATCGTTCAATTTTGACTTAGGAACATATTGAACTGATTTTAAATCTCTGAAAATTGCCTTGAAACGAAAGGGTTAATTATCATAGTTTTCACAATTGCCAAATTAAATAGATTGATTTAGTATTATATTAATTCCAACAAATATGAACCAAAATTTCTTTTATCATAAATTGGAAATATTAAATGCAAATAAATGATATTTGTTTGAATTTGGCACTCCAGATTTGTTAGTTCAGAAAAAAATAAATAATAGATTAATAGTTTGACCAAAGAAAAATCAACGTGTTAGACAGCAACCCACCGGTCCACCCCACCGCCGTGGCCAGTGACGCGAAAGCCATGTTCAAGACTTTGGTGGTGGGGAGAGGTGGTCCACTACCGCGGAAACTATTCCACACGCCTAGGAAACTATTCCACACGCTTAATGTTGTGCTATGTTCTACATCAGTCTATTTGTTTTTCCAGCGTACCTCATACTCATCCATAAATGTTCATGTCGATTTATTTTTTAATTGTGTTACTTCAAATAAGCATTCTTTTGTGAAATTGCCAGTCTTCAATTTGTTAACCTCAAACCCGTCCATAAATGTTCATGATGATTTATTTTTTATTTGTGTTCATTCAAATAAGCATTCTTTTGTGAAATTGTACGTTTTCAATTTTCTTCAGAATGAATGTTATTTCCACCAAAGTTTTAAAATGTGTAATGTGTGACAATGTGTTTCGGTGAAATATCAAGCATTACAAAAATATGAGTGAATATGCAAAGCATATACGTAATTATGCATTTTCCAATTTTTAATACCTTTTTAAATATTCCAAACTAATAAATAAGTAAAATAATGCATTCTTTAAATTTTATACATATTTTTCAAATTTTCAAAAAAAAAAAATGTTTTTCAAAATCATATATATTACAATTACTTGTTAATCAATTCATACAATTATATTAGACAGGAACATCGGCTTAAAAAAATCCTAAATATTATGTAACTATTTATCGAATTCCAATTCAAACTCCCCTTCATCCAAGTCATCTTCTATGTCATCCGATATAGAATTTTTATTGGGCTCCCTTATTTCAACTCGAGAATAACCATTAACTTTTGTAGATGGTAGAATATCATTACTAAGTTTTTCCTCATCATCACAATCATCGATAATCCAAGATTGTTCATTACCAGAATCACTTGCTAGTAAAATTAGATAAAGATCGAAAAATGAGGTCCGGACTCGAAGTAGATAGTTTGCAGCTCTACGGAAAATTTGTTTTGATTTTTAATTTTTTTTTAAACATCAAAACCCTACAAATTGCTATATATAATTAATGAGTTTTGATGATTTGGATTAATTTAATATTTGTTGGACTCTACTTACTTTTTTGCTGAGCTTTATTAGGCTGATTTGATATAATTTTTAACACAAAAATGTGCACATTTTGGTATTTAAGCGTGCTTGTACTGTCAACGAAATACACTGACGGCATTATCAAGTGCATATCCCATATATGAGGCGTTTCGAAAACGCATAGTACATATGGGGCATATGTGTGCATTTTAGAACACTGATTTTCACGAACATGTTTGCTTTGATGTAAGTATGTTATGTGTATTAAAGTTTTTGAGTTTGCATTGATATGAATCAAGTTTCAAACAATTATTCATAGCTCGATGTGGACTTGAATTTAGTCCACAAATCATTACTAGTACATATAACGACGTCTTTTTTTTTTCAATTGGGTGGCTCTATCGAAGTAATATTTTATCGAAAGTTTCTCTCCATATTACCATTCTAGTTTCCAATAAAGATTATCTTAGAATAGTGTTTGCTTTAGTATAATTAATGTGAGCGTGTAGAAATCATATTTAAGTGACTATACAATTCCCATGTTCCGACTCCTGTAAACATTCAAGGAACTGATAAATAAATTTCAAATTAAAAACACTTGAAAAGATAAATAAATTAAAGGTTAAGACCAGAAAGGCCAGAAATTGGATAAAAGCCTAACTCATTTATATGTACATTGTCAAAAAAGAAGCCGTACATCTTAGAAATTGATCAAAAAGTATTATAGTTTTGTTTTACATAGGTATGGTGCACTACAGGTACATCTCTTTGTCGAGTGGAAATTGTTGAAAAATGCTAATTGTACATATTTTTTTAACAAATTGATTTACCGGTGTCGAGTTGACAAAATTTTACTGGCTGGTTTAACTTTGTTTTTTCTCCAAAATGGTATAAAATCTTGCCAACTCAATACATGTAAACTAATACGTTAAAAAAACTTGTACAATTAGCATTTTCCTAAATTGTTTAAGAATGATAATGAAGAAGAAGAGAATATTAAATTTCTAAATTACGTAAACAAGTTTTTTTTTTTTTTGTGACAAAATCTTAATATAAATTTTGATCTATGCCCGTTTGATTCTCATTATTGTAGAATGAGAATGAAAAATATAACCGTTATGGACCCCACATAAGAAATAGAAATTCAAAATTGATAGCTTAATGTGATAGATAACATTCATATTTTTCATTTTTATGAATGAAAAATGAGAAACAAATGGAGGTAGAGACCTTAATTCTATACAATCAAGAACAGTAATATTGCCAAAAAAAAAGGATTCAAAAGAATTTGCAAGATTTAAATATGTTCGTTCCAACGTGTGACTACGTCTTCATCCATCGTTGCAGTGATTCATTATGATGGAAAAAAATTTATAAGAGAAAAATCACACCCCCTATTTTCTCTAACATCTCTCCCCGTTTGATGATGATGAAAAAACCATAATGACGGTTCCCTATTTATAAAAAAAAATTAGTGCAAAATAGAAATTATAAATGTAAAATTCCTAAGTCCCTATTTGAGCACTATTTTCAAAACACATTTTTTTTCCAAATTCATTTTCAATAAAATGTACTCCAAAAACTTTGTATCGCCTTTGTTGAAACTTGACTTGGGTGTGGATATAAAATTTGAACGTGAGAAATCACCATACTCTTGAATGAAGTTTGAAGAAACTTCAACATACATATTTGACATTTGATGCACGATTTCTTGGTTGAATTTATGCTTTGTGGACTTTGGAAAATCTCCTTAGGTCAGCTATACATAAAGCAATGGTAAATAATGGATAAACAAACGGATAAGAGTATAGGTACTAAGTGGTTGGAGCAAAATCTGTCGCGATCACCTTCAGCAAAATATCATTTAAATAAATTTTTTGCTTTCATTGTAGAGTCTCTCAAGTATCTGAAAATCCATTGCACAGCTTTCCAATGTTTCTTGCCAGGGTTAGCCATGTATCTACTAACTGCACTAACTGCTTGTGCCAAATCTAGTCTTGTACAAACCAAGCATAGATGAGCGAACCTACTGCACTGGAGTAAGGAACTTGGGACATGTAATCAATATCTTCATCTAACTAAGGATACAAGTTAGATAATAGTTTGAAGTGGGTAGTCAAGGGAGTACTAACAGCTTTAACTTTCACCATATTGAATCTTTCGAGCACTTTCTCAATGTACCCCATCTGATCCAAATACAATATGCAAGCATTTCTATCCCTCAAGATCTCTATTCCAAGAATCTTCTTTGCTCCACCTAAATCTTTCATGTCAAACTCCTTGCTAAATTGTTATTTTACCTTTCTGACCTCTGCTTTATCGTTGGCTGCTATAAGCATATCATCAACATATAATAGTAAATATATAGTTGATCTACCAACTTCCTTTCTGAAATACACACAACTATCATAATTACTTCTATCAAAATCATCAGTAGTCATAAATGAATTAAACCTTTTATACCATTACCTCAGTGACTGCTTCAATCCATACAAGGACTTCTTTAATAAGCACACATAATCTTCTATATCTGAAACTATGAACCCTTCTGGTTGTTGTATGTAGATGCTCTCTTTAAGTTCCCCATGTAATAACGCTGTCTTGACATCCATTTGCTCACTCTCCAAGTCATTTTGAGCCACTACTCCAAGTTTCACGGGTTACCTTTTTTCTTATAAGGAACTTGGGACATGTAATCAGTATCTTCATCTAACTAAGGATACAAGTTAGATAATAGTTTGAAGTGTGCAGTCAAGGGAGTACTAACAGCTTTAACTTTCACCATATTGAATCTTTCGAGCACTTTCTCAATGTACCCCATCTGATCCAAATATAATA